AAAATGTCATTTATAAGCTCTCGCTTACCAGTTAAGCTATACTTTGCGAGTTACATGTATCTTGGTGATTATGATCAGACCGGTTGGCGTTCTCGAATTCGCTTGCAAGCCCCAGGGGCGTTGTTCTTAAGATAAATTTGTCTAAAAATATCATATTCGCTATATAATACAGTAATATAATGAACACCGGGTAATTTGCATTAAAAAAACGTGTTAGATCTATAGGCATTTCTAGAATCATCTGATCGACACCTTTGTTACCACAAAAGGTGCGATCTGCATTGTCCAAATTTGGGGGTCGTCTAAAGCCGTACCATCACATGACATAGAGCCAATAGAATTGTTTATTTTGATCGACACGGATCAGCCCGAAGAGACAAAAACAACGAAAAAAAAGTGAAAATCGCAAAAAATACAAGAAACGACAGTCTAAACCCATCTAGGTGCATTAATAAAAAATGTCGGGAGGACAATTTTACTATAAGACTTGCCCTGACCCTAACCCCAAACTAACCCTTAACTTAACTTTAATAAAAAATCAAAAATACGTGACTGGACACGGCTTTAGACGTCCCCCAAATTTGGTATATTCCCGGACTGTAGTATAGTTGGTTTGTATTATTGCTTAATGCCGGCCTAGCTCCGGGCCTATTCCGACCCTAAATTTTGATCGGTCTGCTAAATTTTGGTTGCTCAACTAATCTATCCTTACTTTCATTTTATTACGTCGGATATTCTATAGAATAGGTGGGCAAAATAAGAAATAAGCTTCGCTAATGATTAGTAATCATTAATTTTTTAATAGCGGAGTTGCGGAGTTTGCGGAGTTTGCCCACCTATTCTATAGAACATCCCCAAACCAAAGGATGTATTACGTAATATATAAAATTGGTCCGGGATTTCAAAAATAATTACCCTACTATATTATACAAAATATAATGTACACGTAAGACTTAAAATAAACAACCAAAACCAATGACATCTCTAATTTTGATTAAAATAATTATAATCAAAGTTTTTACCATAATCCTAATGAATCTCAGTACGTACGTACTTAAAATTTAATTGACGCGTTGTCAATTCTAAATATGGCAATGAAGTATGCTAGTAACAGGTAAAATAAATTAATTTCGTAGCAATTGGGTACGTAACAGGTAAAAAAAAGATCACATGTTCGGTTTTCGATTTGGTCAAATGACCATTTGATCACTCACTATATAATATGCGCCGATCCTTAAAATTATCATAACGTCCCATTAGAATCTATACCGATACGTTCGAAGATGTTACCTACGGACGTTGTCTGGGTTAGCACGGAAACATTTGGGTGGTGGCCCGCTAAGGTATATTAAAATTACTTGCCTTGTAGAGTGTTATTCACGAATTCAAGTTCGTATTAACATATTTTTATAGATAATAAGTCAAAATGGTTCTGAAACGCCTTTACGTGTCGAGCTTTTTGGAGATATCTCGACAAAGTGAGATCAAATGCATACTGTTTACTCAAGTCAAACTTATGTATAAATAATTTTAGTGTTCTCCTATTTATTTTTACAGAACAATAGAACTTAACAATATGTCAGATACAAGTATTCTTCCATTTCGCTGTAACAAGTCCTCCGAGTTTCTGGAGAATGGAAAAAATTCAAATATGAAAGAAATATTTAAGAACGCGGTCTCGGAAGCTGAGGAAAAAGATGCTGAAGAAAATGATGGCTTGCCCAGTGAAGATTGGGCTTTTCATAAGGTTGTTGATTCTGTTGATTCACCGAAACGGAGAAAGGTTACTTCTCAGAAAAGTATGCAATAAATACATAGTCAATCGATAATGGTTCAATATGTTAGTAGAAAAAACGAACCTTTTTATAAATTCGGTGGCGTTTTCACAGGACCCACAAAAGGAAAAAGGAAAAGTTTTGGTTCTACAAATTGTCTCATTACTCATAAGACATCATCAAATAAGCAGTGAGTAAAATCAGAAACCTTAAATTATGCGGGGCTTATTATTATAGAACCTGATCATATTGACTTTTAGATCCATAACTCGGGACCCAGGCAATACTGATACAAGTTTCCAAGAAGATGAGAGGTTCGAACTTTAATAGATTCTTTGTAATATGTTCTATTAAAAATATTCAAGTCAACATTACAATTATGTATGTGCATATTAGCCTTATGATCCCTGGTGAGCTAGTTCTCGCATGTGCACTCAAAAAATATTATCCAGCGAAAATTACAAGTTATACCGAAGTAATATTAATCTACTTGATGTTATTTTATTATAATATGTAAAGAGTAATTTAATAATAGCGATATTTTAATTTTATAGCCAGACAAATATAAAATAAAATTTTGTGATGGAACGACGACAACAGTTACTCGAAAGAAGTTCTTTACGAGATATGAAGATGAATTTCAAACGTGTCAAGTAATTGAATTAAATAGAATAAACGGGTTTTATTTGTTTAATACTGACCTTTATGGTGTTTGAATTGACAAATTTAAATTTACCATTTTCACATCTAAAGTTGGGAGATATCGAGTTAGAAAAAGAGGATCCAACTTACTATGATCAAGAACTTATTGATCAAGTCTATAATCTTGAAGACATACTTTATCGAGTTTTGACGGGTAACGAAGAATCCGCATGGAGATACCGAGATTTTATTGAAGGTGGTA